GCAATATGCCTGGATGGTCGGGGAATTTGATCGACCCTGTGAAGTCTGCTGAGCTGGTCGCGGCGAGATGGGGCGGTAAGGCGAGTTATGACAAGCCTGAGGCTCCTCTGACTGAGGCTGGGATGAAGAGTGCGTCATTGGAGGATCGTGCCTACGCACTATCGCAGCTGAATCAGATGGTGAACTTCCACAAGAAGCACCTCTGCTCTGGGCGAGGAGCGCCTCTGGTGAGTGCAGCTGCCCCTAGTGGACCCTTTGCTCCTGACCAGCTAGATGATAGCAGGAAGTTCAGGCCTAGTGGGGCGGCGAGCAAGATGACCTACAATCTTGTGATACTGGATGGGAAGGAGGATTATCTTGCCGATAGGCGAGAGATCAATCCGGAGTTAAGGGAAACGGGAGTTATCCCTGATGAGGCCGTCACTTGCCAGATTGTGGTTCCCTCGAAGACGAGGTTGGGTGAATACCTCCCGAACTACGAGGAGACCGTGGGCACTGTTGCAGGACGGGAGGCGGCGAAGGAGTTGATGAGACTGCTCTCGTGCGATTTCGACGGCTTGGTCATCAATTCAAAGAGAGTCTCGGAGTTATTCGAGGAACGTGTGCTGAAGGAGACCGGACGCGAGGCTGGAAACTGGGTGAAAAGTGACCAGGCCATCTGGTTCCTGAAGGAGATTTCGGGTATGGAGAACGCTGAGATGTCTTGGAAGTTCTTCATTCCGACGCTTAAAGCTTTCCCGATAGGGCAAGTGGAGGCGATGCTCATGGTCATGTACGACGGGGATGGCGTTCTCCTCAAGGAGAGCACCAGGTTGGTTGCCGTTAGGCACACGCGGATCGGACGCGACTTGAGTTACAGTGCCGTTAGGCACAGGTATACTCAGGAAGATGCACCTGGCGGATCTCTGATGTACGAGATGCATTGGAATGAACTCCCCATGGTGGGATACGTCATCATGAAGTTCTCGGACTTTCGGAAGGCGGTTCAGCTCCAAAGGGTGAGGCGAAATGGAAAGGCCATGATCGAGATATTGATCACGAGGCCCGATGTGTACGAGACCATTGGGGATGGTAGGCAGGATGAGGGCCTGATCCCACTTGTGGGAGCCATGGCGCCGGATGCCGAGGTATCGCCTTCGTGGTATGTCAGGGACAGGCTGCGGAACTACTCCGGTAGGTACGTGGTGGTAATGGTGGATCTTCGGGTGCACTGGTCCTTGGTTGGACCCGTGTTTTTGACGAGAAGGAAGACTCTTGCCGTTAGGAACGAGATCCACATGGGGGCTTGGAAGGCGGCGTATATGTACGATGATTACACGATAGTGTACCATCGGGCATGGGACTACGGTGACTTCACCCCCGTTAGGGGAGAGCACAGGCGATCACGGGAAGAGATCAGGCTGAATGTGACTGCCACGTTCTGCTTGAGGTGCGCAGAATTGATGCCGAATGGGATGCACTTGTGTCCCGGGTGCGCGCTCCCGGTCTTTTACCCGAACTTTATCCCCAACGCGGAGGAAAAGGACTTCGAAACGTGCCACATCGTGCCGGAGTGGGTGAGGACAATGGGGCAGTTCAAGCCCAGGAGGATTCCCTCCGAAGTGGTCGGAGTCATCAAGAGGAATTTGATTTCCTATTCGATGGCATCCGATCTAAGGATGACGGTGCAGAGCGGCATCAGACTTCCCCCTTATCTTGGTGAAGACAAGGGAGGTGTCGATGCGGCGTGGGATGAGCTGGCGAAGGTGCTCTTCCAATTCTCCTATGTGTCCGGGATTTCGGCCTCGGATGCGTTTGTGGAGAAGTGGGTGGCGAAGCACCTGATCAAGACCAACCAAGTCGATAGATTTGAGTCGGTCACGGAGTACTTCCGGGCCAACCCAAGACACGCTGCTCAGTGGGGTAGGCGTATGACGACTTCCGTTAGGAAGTTCGCTCGTCATGACACGTACTTGTCATTCTATATTCCGATGGCATACGTGATTGGTTCTGCGGCTGGTCATCTGACCCCATTGTACCCGACCCATCGAAAGGACGTGGACATCCTGGAGAGTCATGCGTTGATGTCGCAGCTCAGGGGGTACATGGTATCGGAGACAGGGTATGATGAGAAGAAGAGGTTGAAGGAGGCGATAGCCAAGGTGCAGAAGGCGATCAGTGCCGGACAGTCAGAGCCTCCCGCACCATTCCGTGACCCATTCGTCTACGTTAGCGACGAAAGGGTGAGGACGGTTCTTGACGGTCGTCAACCCGAACCATTGAACGTGGACATCGAGGGACTCCAATCAGTGCATCATGCTGCGCCGGGTCCTGGTCCCAAGCAGGAACCGGTCCCCAAGGGCGGAAAAGGAAAAGGGAAGAAGGGGGAAAAGGGCGGTAAGGGCGGTAGTCCTTCCGGCCCGCCGCCAAAGTCAGGTGAAGTGCCGGGTAAAGGATCCGGTAAGGGCGGTAGCCCATCCGTCCCGAAGGCGAAGGATGACGCTGGACCTGCTCCGATGGAGGTTGATGCAGCAGCAGCTCAGCCGAAGAAGTCTTGGGCCGAGATGGTGGTTGAAGGGGCCAGGCCGAGTGCCAAGGCTAAAGTGACCCCAGTCCCTAAGGCAGAGCCGAAAGGGAAGGCTGCTTCGGCATCTGAGGCGAGGGGTGCTCCGGCTCCAAAAGCTGTGGCTAAGGAGACGAAGCAGGCCGAACCGAAGGTTGAGGTCAAGAAGGAGAAGACAGGCGGAGGTGACGCTCCCGGCGGTAGCCGCGGGTCGGCCGAAGGGCAGAAGAGAGAAAGGAAGTCCCGTTGGGATCCCGACGAGGCTGCGAAGGAGTCGACAAAGCGGGAGGCATCCACGAGGCCTGGCGATGTCGACAGCAGACCGGGTGCGGCAGCGAGAGAAGCTAGCGGGGATGATCTTCACTCCGCGCTTGGCAGATCTTCGGCAAAGGATGCGGTAGCGCCTTTGACTGCCTCCAAGGCGATGGCAAAGAAGCCTGAAGGCGGGGAGATCCGGCTGCAGTCTGCTGAGCGGGCCGCGGCGAGCCCGGTGGAGGGTCACTTCCTGGTGCTGCCTGAGAGTTCGGTGGTGGACGCTTTCTTGACGATCTCCACCAACAGAGTGCTGAACAAGCAGGTTAGGGATTTCATCAGAAATGGTGAGGACGCGTCGGCACTGGAAGCTCTCAACCAGATCGTGACGAACTCTCAATCTGGGAGGAGGCGTAGGGAGTCGGATGTTTCCCGTACTCCTTCTCGGAGGTCCGTTAGGACCGTGGACACCAGGGATTCCAGAGAGTCGAGGAGGCGCAGATATCGTCCGCGGCGCGAGGATGATCGCGACAGGAGGAGGGACGATGCTCGTGATCGTCGTGATGATGATTCACTCGATCGGGAGCGGGATCGAAGGCGAGATGATCGCAGGAGATCCGAAAGGGATCGTGATAGGGACCGTGCGCGGGGCGGACGTGACCGGAGGAGACGTGACGATAGCCGATAGGCTGAGTCACGAGGATTGCGGCCGATAGGCTTGCGTCCGTTCTCCAATGGTCGGCGCGGTGCGGAGGTGGTGATGTTCCTCCCGGACCGCTGAGGCGCGGAGGTCATGTCTCTCCCGTACCGCTGCTGAGCTGCTGGACGTGCTCATCCGGAAGCAGTATGAGTGAGAGGGAAAGCAAACTGATGGGGGGTTACTCCCGGGTTTGCGGAATTCAGGCATTTTTCAGGTACGCATGGTCAGGAGTACCTCTTGCCGTTAGGCGAGGGTACTAATGGACATACGTTATCTTTTGTTTCATGGCTTCTGATAAGAATTAAACTTCTTGCATTTCTGATGCAAACAGTTGTGACCTATTGTCGTCATGTGGACTTTTCCACAAGGTATGTTGGACAGCGTTACCCCGATTAATTCGGGGTGGTGGCGGGAATTTAATGCCCGGGATGTCGCGCGACTGCCTTTGTGGGTTTGCTCCACCGCTGACGGCGGTAGTGTCCAGCTGTTTGCGGACGTATGCGAGCAGTTAAATCCTATCAGTAAATGGCACGCTCCACCCGTCATATGACGGGCTCCTCGTGAGGGGGGTGTGATTAGCCATGGTTTATTTCATCACCAGGGATGTCGCGGTAGTGACTGACCTGTGGTGTTTGGCTCAAGTTTGCGGGTCCGTCGCGCCTCGGATGAGCGTCGCCGGGTCCCCGCGTCGATCACCTTCGTGTCGGTGGAGAAAGAGACATCGGCCCGGGGCCAGATTGGTGGGGTCCGCCCGTGCGGTTCATCGTCGATCCAAGGTTGCGGGTACTTGTTTCTTGTTTGGTTTGTTTCCCTTTTGGTTGTTGTTCTCTGGTGTGTGGGAAACCCTGATCTTTGGGACCGGGGATTGGTTTGCTTTTGGGGAACCTTTCTTTTGTGGCTTGTTTACCCCAACTTACCCATTGCCTGGGCACAGGCTCGTGCCCGAATCACATATTGAGCTGTATGGCCGCGCAATGCTGGACAAAACAATCCCGTGCTCGCATCCTGCGCGCCCGCTTGCCCAGGATCCAATTCAGCGAGTTTGCAGGGCACTCGGATGCACTCGGCAGTTTGGACGCGATGATGTCAGTGATGCAGCTGTCAGTAAGTTGCCTGAAGCAAGGGGGTAAGCGTTCTCCCAAACATGTAGCCTATTCATGGTTCAGGGCTCTAGTTGTGTCACTTCATTTGCTAGGTCCCAAGGCTATTTGGATGCACATGTTTCGCCGCCTCGGGTTTAGCAAATCACCCTGGAGGCCGGATTCATTTGGGATGGGCCTTGACTAGAACCATGGCTGAAAAGGAAAGCAGGACCATTGTGCCAGGAAACGGGTGCACAACTCTTCAGGTTTCGTTGCGGCAAAAACGGGCAGGGCTTCCCATGAAGACTCCACCGCGATGCGATACTGGGCTGTTCAATGCCAAACCTTGATCCTTGTCCCTTATGCCACAGACCCGCACCATGTGCTACACCTGCCCCCCCTCCCCCCCCGCCAGCCGCTCGAGGTGGACTTTGTCTTCGGCTTCGCAGACCTCAGCGATGAAGCAGCGCCCCGGATCTACCTCGCTTGACATGGGCTTTGGTGTCGTCCCTGTTTCCCTGGGTGGTTTTCATTGGTGGGGATTTGAACCCCTGGTTCTTGTAGTAAATGGGATACGCTCTTCGGCAGCTGTCGTCCAGGTTGCTGGATGCCAAATAGCACCCATCATGGTTGCTTCTCCCAAAAGGTCACGGTTGTTTTCATATTTTTGAGGACCCAATATATTTTTGACTCCCGGAACATAATGTCAATATGTTATTTTTGGTGGGGGCTGCTTTCCACCTCTTGTCTTGAAACGGCCATGGAGCCCTCGGCGTGCGATGTGCTGGCGGTAGCAGTGGAAAACTGGCGTGTCTTTCTGTGTTTTGCAAGCACCAACACCCCACCGCCCCGACCAATCTGTTGGGCACCGTCAGGAGTATGTCATCCAAGTGAGTCGACCTCCACTTTGACTCGCACTGTTGAGGCAGAGAGCTGATACTGATGGTTTGCAGGCCGTCGGCAATACAGTAGTCCTGCACCCAAGGAGATGAAGATGCGCGAAGCGACTGAGACGATGGATGCAAACATCCGTCCTGCGCCTGCAAGCGGGCTCTACAGGACGGGCTAGCCAGTTGGAGGTAAGACTTTGTGATGGTGAAAGCTAGCGAGGTCTAGCGACTCTGGACAGCCTGAACGCCAACAGACCCGCAGGTCACTTTTTGAGTCAAGGAGGTCTCCTGTTTGACATTCCACTTGCAAGTCCTTGGTCACGGGGAGCTTGGCAAACTGGATTTGCTATGGGGTTCACCGGGACCCTCGAAGTGGCTTGTTTGCTGGTACCCTTGGCTTCAAATGGGCCCGGCACTTGTTTGAAAAGGGTGCTACCAGAGAATTGGTCGTCGTGGCTCCGTTTTGGGTGTTTGAAGTATCATCTCCTGGGCCAATGGAGTTGAGTTTCGCTTGGGTTGATCTAAGGGGTTCATGTTGGTTGTCGTGCCTTTGTCAAAACACCCAAGGAACCCTGTTTGTTTCCGTGCCTTTCCGGAAACCCCACCCAGGCCGATCTCGAGCTCTCGAGCCGTGTTGTGCCGGCAGGGTGGGGTCAGAGGCGCGTGCCCCAAAGCTGACTCGGGACCTGAGCGACCTGACCTTCGACCTGGAAGGCGCAAGTTTTGCGTCCGAAGCTCAAAGAACCCATTCCGAAAAAGTGGATCCCTTGCACAGCCTTGTGCCAAAGAACAATCTGGAGTATCGAATGGAACACATTTGTTGGAACCCACCCAAGAAGCAACACTTGCTTGGGGTGGTTGCCGAAAGTGCGGCTTTTTTTGCTTTCCTTTTTTGTGTTTTTGCTTTTCGCATGGTGCCTCCTTGTGCCGCATTGTTATCAAAGGGGATGCCAAGCTTCCCTTCCAGCCATTTTTGTTTCTGTCAAAATGGGGGGGGGCCACCCCAAAATGGGTGGAGTGATGTCCTTCTGGTTTCGCTGCAAGCACCAACCGAAATGGGTTCACAATTGGGAGAAGCCTCATTTTGAGCAATGTCGAAATCAGGCTGCCCACACACAGTTGGAGGGTTTCCGTCAAAAGATCGTTGCAGGTGTCTTGTTTTAGTAAAGCACCCTGGCAAGTAGGTCAAGCCTCTTCATGTGGGGGGGAGGGCAGTTTGTGGACTCACTTCCCCAGTTAGTGGACTTAGAGTTTGTAGAGGAACAATTCCGGACATGTTCTGAGCAATCTGGATCCAAACGCCAGGGGGTGAGCCGGACCTGCCGCAGCTGCTTCAATCCTTGCAGCTGCTAAACACCCAGGCGCTCCGAGAGGCACGTGGACAGAGAGTCTGGGAACGGTCTGTTTGCTTGTGCATGGTTGTTTGTTTGGCTGATTCTGATGTTGCGTGGAGTTCTGGTCCCTTGTTTGGCCCGACTCGTTTTTTGGGCTTAGGTTGGTTTGCGCAGCAATTGGTGGGTGTGTTTGGGGCTTAGGTTGGTTTGCAGGGGAATGTTTGCATGCCTGAGGGCTCACTGCAAGTCCTAGTTCCCGCAGATTCCGAAAGGAGTTCAGCGAAGCTCGTGACGCCTTTGGAAGACTCGGGGGAAGGAAGTGGCAGCTTGGTCTGCGTTTGGGGCCCCACGGTAGCTGCGGACCATTCAAGACATAATTTGAAGACGCCAGCCCAAAGTTGCTTTGGCACTTCCAAGGCAACTGGGAAGTAGTCCAGCTTGGCCTTGGATTGCCAGCCATTACAGTTGGGTGAAAGTAGATGGCACACTTCCCTCATTTTGCTTGGTGGCTCCCAGCCATCCCCTTAGCCTTTTAGCTTTTTAGTGTTTAGTTGTAGTTTCCATTTAACCCACTAAATGTTAAACTTTCAGCGGGGGATCTGAGGGCAGCCCAGTTTGATTAGGCTTGACTCACCAACATGGGAACACCACGTCATCTACTTTCACCCGTGAAGAGAAAACGGTCCAGGACCGCCCGTCTACTGGCTAGAGCCCAGCGCGCGCGTGTTTGGCCGCCAGGTCTTTCAGCAGGCGGACGTCAGCAAGCGGGGCTTCCTTCGCCTGGGCGATCTGAGGCGCCGAGGGCCGAATGGCAGGGATCCTGTCAGCCTTCGGACCATCTTGCTGGGCATGGCATGTGCAAGCTATTTGGATGCCACGCGTGCCGCCGAACTGAGAACTGTATGAAAAGGCCTATGTCTTGATTCACATCAAGTGGCACAGGCGCAATGGGTTGCTTGCCTAAGTTCTGCGTGGATGTTGCCGTTTTTTCCCCCGTGACAAGCATGATTTTTCCGGTCGGGCGCACAAGCAGCCGTATGGCCCCGCATCCCTTGTCTTTGGATTTCCGCCATGATCTTCTGTGTCAGTTTGCAGGCGCTTGCTCTTCCCGGAGAACGTGCAGTCCACGGACAACAGCATGGCAGTTGTGCTTCTGGTCTATCAAATATTGCACTTGCTAAGTCGCTAAAAGTCAGAGAGCATTAGTTTGGCGTCAATCACTGGGGTTGGCATCAACCACTGGAGCACAACTACTTCGAAAGCACTCCATATCAGGCCACAAAGTCAGCCTTAGAGCAAGGAAGCCAACCCAGAACAAGCCCAAACCACACCGTGTCAGCAATCATGCTTTGCGTGCTATGACATGTTTGGTTTGGAATGTGTGTTCAGGTTTTTCTACTACGACGGGTTTTCTGCGTTTGATCCATGCGCTCATTCGTTACCATCCGATCGAGATGGATCGAGGAAAGTCTTCGCGCAGATGGACAAGAACGGTGACGGGAAGATCCACAGCGCGGAGTTCGCCTTTTGGCGCCGTTTTTTTTTTGGTTGGGGGAGGGGGGGTTATGAATAGGGAAGGGGTTGTCGGATCTTTTGTCCAACTCCAGGATCCAATTTTAGGGATGGATAGTTCGAGGAATGTATGTTGTCCAACTCTTTGCAGCCATCGTTACGTTCTTTTAACGCATGTAGGTCTTGTGGGGTTTGGTTATTACTGCGAAGAATGGGGAAGCTACCCTAAAGAGGCCACAGAGTCATGAGGTGGGCAGGTGCGAAAGGTTTCAATGCAGAAAACACTTGGAGCATGGGGGTCCCTGATTTGGATTCAAATGATTGCCCCGGACCCTGCGCACCAGCGCCTACCTCACCAAATCCGTTGGGCTCTGGGTGGTGCGCCGAGGTGTCCTTCGTCATTGGCGCCAAGCGCAGCTCGGAGAAAGCCGAAGGCAGTTGTGCGAAAGGACGATGCATGCGCCGCAACTTATACCTTGCAAAGGGAATTGGTTCAGGGCTCGTGACTCAGCTGGATGTGTCTGCTTGCCTGCTTGGCTCTCCGGCTTGCCCCCCCTTCTCTTTGTATTATGCCTTTACGTGCTGCCACAATCAACACACCAGCACACCAACGCGCAAATCCCTAAAACACGCTTGTATCTAGAGCCCACCTGTCCATCCCCCTTAGGCGGGGGCATGTGTCCGATGCGTCCAAGGCCGCATCTCCACCACGGCGTCAGATGCAGACAAGCGAGTGATGGCGAACGCCTTCTCTCATGCAGACGCGGATTCTGATGGTCGCATCAGCATGGAGGTGGGGTTTGGATGCCGACTGAGCTTCAAATAGGCATGGATTCTTCGCGAAAGCGGAACTTCCAAATAGATTGATTTCTGTTTGGTTTCCCTTTTAACAACACCCAAATGTGCATCCTCAAAACTTGAAAAAAGGAGTGCCATACCATATTCTGCTTCCCGTGAAAAGCAATGTTGGCACAAGTTTGCCTGTTGAAACAATGTGCCAGAAAGTGTTCGTTGCTATTTCGATTCAAGAAGCTACGCAGCTAAACACACTGGAAAATAGGGTCAACAAGCCCCGCACTCTCAAAACCTAAGTGCCCAATTGTGTCAAAAGACGCGGACCGTTACCTGGTGAGTCCCGCGTTGCCCATTGTGACAACCGGAGGTGTGAGCCCAACAAGACATAGCCAAAGCAGCACCCGCCAGCAGGCCTTCCAATCGGAGCTATCATTTTGCCGCTTTTTTGTGGGGTTGTACTTGAGGCCCAGCTGCTGATCCCTGGCTTTAGCTCGTTGCTTCCAAGCCAGGCTGATTAAAAGGTGACAGCAGCGGCCTATGAGCGAGCAGCATTTCTTGGACCTGGACAACTTCTCACTTTCGTGATTGGCTTTCGTTCAATCGGCGTTCCGGTATTCAAAGCAACGCTTCGAAACGTGGGCTTCGCATTGCGCGCGCAAGTTGTTCCTTGTTCGGGGCCATGACGAAAGAGCATCCATGGCCGCGCCCAGAGTGGGTTCCAAATGAAGCCGGCTGATTGTGAGGACTTGCTGAACCTATGACAACCTTCATATTCACAGGCTGTTGAAAGGCCTGACTCCCTGAAGGATTGACATCAAGCAACCCATTTGTCCTGCCACCCTCCATGAAGCGCACAGCAAACCGCCCCTCAAAATGTGGATTGTGGATGGACAAAGCCCTGCACCACGGATGGATGAAACCCGACGAATATTGAGCAAACGTTGGGGCAAGCCCACCTGGGGGGTGAACAGCGTGCTCACCACGCGAGCTCGCCATGATGTACGTCCTTGGGGGATCCCTACTTCAGACTTTTGATCAATCGTCGGGTCTGTCCTGAATCCATTTGGGTCAGCTGCTTCTTGCACTGAAGTCCAGGAGTTCGAGCACCTCTTCGGGGCAAACACGGACTTCGACCGGCGCATGCTGCAAAGCGTTTTCGATTCAGTGGACAAAAATCAGGCGGGTGGGGTGAGGCAAAGCGCCACTGCAGCCCCCCACTGCAGCCCCCCCCCCCCCTCCGGTTTCATGTTGAGTTTGGGGGAGGCAATGTGGACTGGAACAGAGTCAGAAAGTATTAGATGGGCCAAGGCATGATTGCCTTATTCGGGCGACATCAAGTTCAATGTGAATACGCCCAATCAAGTTCAATGTGAATACGTCTGGATTGGGCGCTCGTGACATGTCTTGCATGCTTCAACCCCAGTAGAAGATTCAGCCGGCCAAGTGACTTGAGATGACTTGATCTTCGGCTTGTGTAGAGGGCGTCCCAATATGCGGGCCCGTGTCCTTCGTTTGAAGACAACCTCCCGACTGATAGGCCAAAGGTCATGAAGATTGCGCCAGCATTTGCAGACTCGACCTGCCTGTCAAGCCAGCTTTCGGGATTCAGTCTCTCCTGTTTGGCGAAGGCTGGCCATGTCCAAGCATGCTTTGCTCATTGGTCCTGTTCCCCACGGGCAGCTGGGGGATTTTGGGTGTGACTGATTGCCTTCCAGGGGTGCGGGTGCTGATCCCCAAGTTTGGACAGCAGGCATGGCCTTGGCTGATTGAGCTTCCTTTCCTTGGCACTACAGCTACTTAGGCTAGGCAAAGTGGGGATTGCGTTCATGCAACGTTTGTAAGTATGTAACTATAGTAACTATAGTAGTCATTCATTACCGATTCATGGTACCAGCATGTGATTTTGTGTGTGACAGTCTTTGTCCCAGACACGACTCTTTGGCCACTGGGATTAGCAAGTAGGCTGCTTACCCTCGTAAAGACCAACCGCCCAGAGCAAGCCACGAAAGCCGATCGCTTCAAGTGGCTGTGGGCCAACGCAGCTTGCAGGATGGTTGCGTCTCCATGGTCGAGCTCGCACGTGTCTATGGCAAGGCCCTCCTGGGCCTTTTTGTTGATCGAAGGTGGGTGCTGGGTACGGACCAGGCACTCTTAGCCGACCATTTGCAGCTCGCTCCATCCATCACTTTGGGCATTGCAACCGACATGGTTTTGCAACGAGCAAGCAGTCGTACACAAGTTTGCTGCTTGCCATGTGCGGCCTGGTTTCAGACGTTTGAGATCGCACATGTGCGATCAACCAACAGAGCATGAAGAAACCTCAGATCAGCTTAGCGGTGTATTGCCTTGGGTTGAAGCTTTCGAGATTTCCCAAGTGCTTGCTTAGGGCTGGATGGCTTTTGCAGAGGAAACTTATCCGAAGCAGGAGGGATCCTTCCTGATTGCAGCTGTGTCTTGTTGATCCGTGTGTGGTGACCCGAGATGAAATTGCGTTTGGTGAAAGGGCCTGGGGTGCTGCCATGAGTTTCTCCAAATGCAACCTTTGAACTGTTTCAATTGCAGCCTTAGGATTTTTTTAGCCATCCTTGGAAGATGACCAACTTCAAAGGAGGATTGAACATCACGTCAATCTGAATGATTCGGAGAGCCTGCGCAGACAAGTATGGTCGGAGGACGTTTTTTGTCCTTTTCTTCTTCTTTTTTTGTTTGATTCTCGTGAGGGTGTTTGTTTTTGCGCTGTGCCAGGAGCTTCTTCAGGATGCTAAAGGCATCCAGGTGGCCGGCAGCATGGACGCAGGCAGATTGAAGAAGGGCGGGGCCTGGGTCTATGTTTGTCAGGCAGCTGCGAGACCTAGCAGCTTGCAGACATTATTGCTTCTGAGGGCTTACCGGCAAACATCCCTCTCCATACTCCGTTGAGGATTGCCAGTCCAGCGTACCGCGGCAAGTCCGCGCAAAAGAGGTATGACCAAATCCAACGTCCTGATAGGCCCAAATCTCTTCCAAAACTGTTTAATAGTTTAGGGTTCACCAAAAATGCATACCCCAAATGGCCAAGATTCGTGCAGCGGATTGCTGTTGATTGCGAAGGTGTAAGGTGGTTCCTTGCACAATTTTGGGAGCCGCGTTTCGAGTGAGATGAGACGCTTTCTCCAAGTAGATCAGCCACATGGCAGGCTGCCAAGCGACTGTCAACGGCAATAAAGCTTTGTTGGAGAAGAAACGCCATCAAAGCAAAACTGCAAAACTGCCGGTGTTGTGGCTGTGCGTGTGTGTGTGCGAGGCGTACGAGCAATAGTAATTACCAATGGGCATGATATGCTTGCTCTGTCACATGTAGACAAACCACATTCCTTGGACAATACTTCTTAAACAGCTTGAGCAGGTGCACTTCAGCAAACGATAGTGGCATTCTCTCTGGCGAGGCGCATGTCCCATCCTGCACTCCAGGACGGCACCCTATATACCCCGATCAGTGGCACGAAAGAAGCTAGAATGGTGATGTGGTGACCCGACAAGCAAGCACAGCGCGTAACAACTGAAAGTGCTTTTGGTTAAGCCTACCGATGCATCACACACAGTGCTTCACTGGGAGGTGGCAGTGGGTCAGTGGTCAACAAATGCCAATCAACACCTCTCAGCCCATTTTGGCTTCCTGCTTTTCAGGCGTCGGCTTCTTTGGTGGGCAGTGGTCAGGGACTTACTGCTAAACAAATGATATCAGCAGATGGTTCCATGATGAGCCAAAGAGGCATTGGAATGTGAAATTTCAAGTTCGATGACATAGGACTGGCTTCCGAAAGCAAATGCAAGCTATATACAGGGGCGTAAGTACAAGAACTGGCTTTGGCTTTGCTGACCTCCGTGTGTTGGGGTACAACACCAGCAGGACGATATAGACCTTGTATCAATATATATCATGCCTAAAGTCTAAAGGCCTAGAGCGTAGGATCTTGCCGCGTGCCCTCCTTCTTAGTGTTTGTGTTTGTTGGGGTGAACACCTGCGTGCATCGGCAGGCACGCAAGACAGTATTTCCTTGGCGCAGGAATGGGGTCTCGGTGCACCGCGTGCTTTGTGGGCAGGTGACGAGGAAAGTGAGGACGATTTCTGAGTTGGGCTGTTTGACCGCCCGCGAGCTTTTCTGTGAGGGCAGGATGGGCGGTTTCCTGGCTCAGAAGCAGTTGCATCAGCCTGTCAAAGCTCCACGATTAGTTAAACCATGTCATCCTCATTCAGAAGATGGGCCATGGAGAGTCAGAACTGTTTCTGCCTATTCCATACCATGCTGCACAAAACGGAGACAATAGGCCGGGATGGCAGAAGCAAGGTACCATTCGATACGATAGGCTCGATTACAATCTCCGCTGGATATCCCCTCCGGGATGGCTCCTGCAAGGCGATGCTCAAGGCATCAGCTCGCCGCATGCGGCCGCGACCCAAAAAAAATCGAGGCCGCCTTGTGGCATCACCGAGTGTGAGCTGCGGTTGTTAAACCACTTCCTTACAACCATCAATGCGTTTGCTTGTCTACAAGGGCCAGCTACAGTGCATACATGATTGACAGTATGACACATATATATATATATATATATATATGAATGGTTGCATTGTTCGCTTACACCATTTGATAGTTATATGCATTTATGTTGCCAATACTGTTGGCATATTGGGTATGCGCGTGCGTATTGTAGCAATCATTGTGTATCATGTCTAACCTGGACGAACTGTTTCTCTAGAAGCTATGCGGTCGACGTCAGAATCATTTTTGCAATCGATGCTTGCACTTGACACGCATCCACATTGACTGAGCTCTACTAGATCCGGCACCCAGATACCCAGAGCTTGGAATCTTGCAAGCTATAGCTGGAACCTCGCCAAGTAGCGGGCAGGAACACAAGCGGTATCCACTTGGCTATCGGCGTGGACTTGACCAGACAGCAGATGCTATGCCTGAAGCGACCAAACAATCTGGAGATATTCATGCTGGATGAAGGGACCAGCTCGGAAACAGTGACCATTGTTTGTCTTAATGTTGGACATGGCACTGAAGTTTCATTTAACCGAGCAGGAGGAAACCTCGGACAGAAAGTCGCCCTCGCGTTCCCGGTAAGAATCCGCAGCTAGTCTTTCACACCCGGCCAAAACATGCCTGAAATTTAGCCACTCCAGATGCAGACTGGGCATCTTGTGTTTTGCGTGCATATGGGCTTGCGTGCGGTGCAGTTGTGTTCCATTGTTTGCCTGCAATGTGCGTGCGTGCGTGCGCGCGAGCGATGCATGCGTGCGTGCGGTTGCCTGCGTGAGTGCGTGCTTGCGGGAGGGTGGTTCCGCGTGCGGCAAGTATGTGAGTGCGCACTTGGCTTGTGTTTGTTTGCGTGCTTGTGTATGTGTGTGTGTGTGCGTTTTTGCGTCTCTGCCTGTGTGTGTTGTCTGTGTCTCCGTTTCCCTGCGTTTTCCATGTCTCTGTGTCTCGTTGTCTCTGCGTCTGCTTGTTTGTGCATGTGTCATAGCAGCAGCAAGTACAAAGGGCAGGAGATGGCTCGCCAGTGGTCTTGCCAGGGAGGCGCCAGCTTGATACTGCTGCCTCAAACCGGGCGAGGCATCTCATCACATCCGATACCATGGGTTATTCTGCAAGGTCAACTGGGTTGTGGCGTTGCCCACTTCTGACTTATGACTTTGAATTGGTTGAATTGTTCAAAAGGCCTTGTCACTGAGGACAACATGCCTCCTTTTCCAGACTCTGGACTTCAGCGCTGTTTGGGCACATGATATTGTCAGTTTTCGCCGACGCTGCAAAACAGGTCCAGAAAGGTTTGCGCTGGGCACGACCTGCAGATGATGTTCGCTGGCTCACAGGTGCCGCGTACAGGCCACCCCCAGAGACAAGTCCAAGGCACCCCCAAGGCTTCAGTGCCTCCTTTTGGCTCGTTGAATTTTTCAATTCACCAGTCCTCGCAGCTCTTTTTTTTGGTTGCGTACATGCAGCAAGCCGACCTAACCAGCCGAGCAGCGTGTGGTTTCGGGTGTTCGCTACCCCAAAGACTCGGGTATGGAGATGTCTGAGCTGTGCGCTGCGTGCCAGCCTTACCGAAAGAGCGCTGTTGTGACGGGTCTGACGGGCGGCAGACGCTGGCGGGCCCCTTTCAACCCATTAGTTGTTTTGTTGTTTCTGTCCACAATTCGTGGCCAAATGCGGGGTTTCTTGTGGGCTGTGAATACCATTTGTCTGCATTGGTTTTTACTGGCTGTTTTGCGGGGCTAGCCATATATCGGATGAGTAAATGCCTGCCCATCCACATTGTTTTTGCAGTCGCCAAATCTCCCCCGACGGCTCCCCAAAACAAGTCAATTGAGTTATAGCGGTAAGCTCAACATGATAAAAGCTGTCCACTACGCCTTTTACATTTAAATTGACCATCAAAGATGCGCCTTGCGATCCCGTTTCAAAAATCCTCGCTTGGCAAACTGTGACAGTTTTTGCATCCGGCAAAGAGGGGACGCCATAGGAATGAAGATCGCAGCCGAACCGCCGGACCGCCGTGGGACCTCCTGGTGCTCCATGAATATATTGTGTGTCGAATTGCCATATTGGGGGGGGTGCTTCACCTGGCACGACATTCATGAGAATGGACGCCTGTATGACTGGAATCACACGCAAATCCAGGAGAGATTCTCAGGCAAAAACAGCACACGGGCTCGGACACGTCATTCGGATGCCTTTTTGTGTGACCACCACAGGTTATCCAACTGACATAGGATTTTAGGTTGAGGACACTTGAATCGCTTCGGTCATTAATACCCCGTATGCGCTCACTATCTCACATGCAAGTCTTTAACGTCAATCAGGCCGCCCTGGACAGAATGCATTTTCTTGTAACATCGGTGCGTTCTCTCATTTGAGGCTAGTGAGCCACTGTGGATGGACGAAATCCTGCACCACTTTAAAACCATGGGAAACTGTTCGTTGGCATTTACAGGGGAATCGAATCATTCTATGGTTTCTCAGGTGATGCGAAATGGATTTCGTCCATCCACAGTATTGTAACTCGCCAAGGTTTTGTTGCGACCGCCAAGCCCCGCTCCGAGGCCCTTTGCCAGGATCTTCCTCATGGAGCGGTGAACCATGAATCGGACAGGCAGGGAGTTTTGTTCGCGCATGGCCGTGGCAAACATTTGGCATCTCCATTCCATCCTGCTTGTTTCCTCCTTGCCTTTCTCCTTCCGTTCCTGCCTCCTTTTTATCCCCTTGCTTTTGTTGCTTCCTAGTTTGGTGCTTTAGTGGTTTCTTGATTTCTGGCCTTTTATCCTCCTCTTGCTCGTTCTCCTCCTCAATCCGCAGCCATGCGGATAGAAGCACGCAAGTCAGATAACGCAAAGCAAGGTAGTAGTGATTGCAATGCCTGCGTGTTTGGAAACTACAAGCCAGCTAGACATGCGTATGGTCCAGATCGATTTTGACATATTTTGACTTCACGTGCGATGCCCAAATCATGTTTGCGCTGCCAGCGCCAGGCACACTGTCTCTCACATCGCCATTAGGGCAGCCGGGGACGGGGTGCGGGCGCCAAGGAGGGCGGGGTCTGGAAAGGCAGGGGCATATGCACAAGAATGGGCGGTTTGTTCAAAGTGTTCTGGTAGTTGTGGTCCATTTGGGCCAGGACGGGGTGACTCAAAAGTCCAGGGGAACCACGTCCTCCTGGCAAACAAGTAAATGTGACAGTGGCTCAATTGAGCCAAGGCCAGCTTGTTTGGAAGGGAGTGGGCGAGGGGTTCACATTGGGACCGCCATACAGCAAACTGTTTGCAGCGTGGGCAAGGGGCACAGCCGGAAGTCTACAAAAGTCTACAAACCACGCACGCATGGCAGTGAGTAAGAGAATCTTGCTGACTTCTGCAGCGATTAATGGCTTGCGCGCGGTTAGTCACAAGCCTTTTGGGTCACTACGTGTCGAACCTGCTTCTATGTGCCGTGGTCGGCTTACCTGCGCCGGATCTTGGCGGCAAGGGGATGTCAGACTGTCAAAGGCCTGAGCAAATTGATCAGTGTGTCTGGCCTGGTGGTATGATTCCTTATCAAGAGAGAGAGAGAGTGAGTGGTTCCTGAATTCCATATGATATCCGGTGCTGCCGCTTTGGGGGTTCGGTGCACCTTGGTATGTCTGACATTCCTTCGGTTTGCGGTCTCTGCTTGTGGACTTGTAAAGTTGCCACCCGTCCCAGGTCACAGTCGGTCCGCTCGAGGCTGGTCAGTGTGATGACGATTTTCAGCCGGGTGTTGAGCAAGTGATGGTCTGCATGTCAGCGCCGCAAGCTTGGGACGTGTTTTTACTCTTGAGGCATGTAGCGCAGAGTTGCTTGCATTGGTTAAGCCACTTCATGATAGAATCTGTTTTGAATCTTATGAGCGCCGTGTTCACGAGGCAATTGTGGCTGCTTCCTCGCAGTGCTGGGATTGCAATACAGCAATAGGTCCGTCTCAGCTTTTGGCAAAGTGGTTACATCCTGCAGCCAAACAACATTGGAAATCTGGACAGCCCGGGATCCCTAAGGCGATGCTCGGTTGCCAAATGAATGGCACATCTTCGGAGTGACATTGGGGTCCCGCAGAGGGGCCATCTCTCCATGGGAACTCTCTGAAACTAAACACATTTGGTGTCCCTTCCAAGCAACCCCAAAATTGCGCCCTCGGAAAAAGGACACAGGCGCCGCGTGCACATTTGCACAGTTGGAGCCAACACACGTTGGGTGAAGAAGCCTTTTTCTCGGATCCCTTGACTCAATCTAGCAACATATTGTGCTGCACCCAGGTCAGTCAGACAAGCCCAATGCCAGCATGCCAGCACGCCTTTGCAGTCTTGACTTTTTGGTACACGCTGCAAGCCTCAACTTGAGATTCGCGACCCTGTTCAGACTGGAGAGCCGCACATAGGTTCAACAGGCCTTCCGCCGGCCAAGGCCCCCTTTCACAACTTTGACCTCCCCCCTTTTCTGCGGTCTTTCTCCTCCACACCATTTTGGGTCTTTAGGGTAGGCTAGGTATGAAACGGACTGAGATATGTTCAGCGCGCCCCAGATGTTGGCCGAGTTTTGCTGGACCGATCCATCTTCGCAGGGCATCCCGGAAAACAGCCAACGGCAATGAGTCGGTGGGCCTCCGTGCGGTGCAAGAGCAGAGGAAGCAGGCGAGGAT